ACGCCATCAACGATGACGTCAACCTACACGCTGATTTGACAGACTGCAACGAGCAAGGGTGCAGAGCACACGGAGATCAGGTGGACCATGATGGCGTCACCTGGACGATCTCCACGAGGCAGAGGGTTGCATATGACAGGGCTACAGGGATCTTGCCACGGATGTTGTCGCCATCTCATCCACGACCCAGTTATCGTTCCTTGTACTTCTTTCCGCTCTGTTGATACGTTTGGTTCCTCATGCATCACTCTGTTCTCCCCTCTTCTTTTTCGCCATGATATGCAATCAGGAGATCGCATAATTTTGGAACCCCCCTGCGCGTCACATATCTGACAAACCACTTCACGACCCCGTGCCACCTTTTGTACCCTTTCTTTTGCTTATATCATACCAACCCCAGGAAAACCCCGTTTTTTATTCCTTGATTTCGGGTGCTGCATTTTCCCTTTTTGAAGAGCTTTTTCGACTGCTGAGTTATGTTTTTCTTTTTGCAAAGATGGGAAATACATGGGAATTTGTGTGCGCCTTAGCGAGCGCATTGGGAATTGGACTCAACGGTTGGGAATTCCGGGATAAGCGGAACTTCGACGTGTCCTTTCCGAGTGTGTGAATGTTCTTGGTCGCGTCGGAGAAAACTTTCGGAATTTCGTCCGGAAACGAATAAGCGTAGGATTTTTCTTTTTCCGCGTCGTTCTTTCGCGCGTGGATATGGTGATTTCAATTTTTGAATTAGGATAGAAGCAAGCTGTAACTGTTTCGGTGGCTATTTTTTTTTTTTTTTTTTGACGGCGCCGCGTATGCAGAAGCTTTCTCCCCTCTGTCCCCTGTATCGCTCCCTCCTCCACTCCCTTTCCTTCTCCCTCCTCTTTCTCTCTCCCTGTAACTGTTTCTTTCTCTCTCCTTCCCCTCCCCCGTCTTGCTGTTTGCGCGCCCATTTCCCTTTCTTGATCGTCTGAATCTTGGACCCGTCTTCTGCCACCTCTCGCGCGTTTTCTCTTCCCAACCTCTGGGTCTAACGTACGATGCCTGATCGATCCCCCGATAACTCCCGCTCGCCAATCCGGTGCGTGGATCGATAGGACCTTCCTATCGCGCGACGTATCTGATCGGTTGAACCTTGAGTTCCGAGGGATCGGCATGGCGTTCGTAGAGCACTCTTCTCCAAGTCTTCTCCTCCAGCTTCTCCTCTTACACCTCAGCTTTCCTGTCGCCTTCTCACCCTTCTATCTCCCCTGTCGCAACTATAAAACCCGCAAGCGCGTCCGCAAATCTCTCTTACGTTCTCGACTCCTAAGCCAGCTTTCGGGAAGCAGTGGCTAGGCAGAGTGGATTAATGCGAGTCGAAAAGTCCTGTCGGGCTGACGATAGGCTGGCCGGTTGCGCGCTAGATCGCCACAACGGACTGTGGGATCCGGGCGGATCGTGCCGAGTTTACGACAGCGGGGTGACGATCGCAGTGGTGGGAGTTAGCACGCGACGGTCGGGATCGTCGATGCGGGTATGAGGTTTGATGATTGGAGATGAGTGAGTGATTGGCCCGTGGCCATAGTGGAATTAACGGCGAATGCGCCTTTGCTGCGGATTGTTATTCTTGGCGTGAGCATGCGGCGATGATGCTAAAATTTTCTATTTTCGGACCTTGTCATCTCTTATTTTGACTTTCATTCTCTCTCTCTGTCCTTCTCTCTTTTTGAATGATGATGCATCTGAATGATTGTCCCTCTCTTGAGTAGGAATGAGTTGGCAGCCTGCTACTGTGTGAGAGAACTTCTTTCGGAACTCTTTCATTAGTTTCCTGGGTAATCCTCCTACGCAAGGACCCCGTCTACTTGTCTTGTGAACAATGGACGCGTGTGTATTGTGCAATGCGATCCATCTTTTCCTCTGCATGTCTCATTTTCGCACCTTCCATAGTGAATGCATGTCTAGAGATGCGTGACTTTTTCGATTTGATTAGACGAGTGTTGTCGGGGTTTTGTTCGAGAATGCAAGAGTTTTAAGATTTGTAGCTTTCTTTGCACTGCGCATGCCATCTGCCTTATGATGCACGACATCAGCAGCCGAGCCACGAGGCAGCCTTGAGAAACAAGGCGCCCAGGGACCAACGTTGGGTTGAACTGATCGGACCTGTAGCCATATTGTTCTGTGATTGCTTTCTCTCTCTTGTGTCTAAACGATTGATTGGGGGACGCGCGAATCACTTCTGTTCTTAATGACGTCTCAGGATATTTTGTGATTGATTGACATGTGGACTGACAAGTACCCTTCGATTGGGCGCCAGCCTCCCGTATCTCCCATCCCAACACGACCTTTTCCTTACAGTGAGGAAAGGACACATGTATGTGAGTGGGACGTACGAGAAGCCGTTGCACAAATCGGCGGGCAGTATTACTTCCTTCCGGCCAACCGTTGTTCTGGGTTCGTAGAAGCCGGGTTTGTTATTATCGATACACACTTCCCACCTTACTCGGTATTGTTGCCATTTAATGAGTTAATCGTCATTCCGTGGACAGCAGTAGAACCCCACTGGCCGCGCACTCTGTGCACCGAATGTCAACGTTTTGATCACTATGAGTCCAGGGGTCTCCACTATCGTGTGCGGAGTGAAGACGAGCATAAAGAAAGAGCCACGCGACTGAGACCCTCCACGTCAGACTCGGAACTAACCAGCGAACGACAACGGGATTTGATACGAAAACAGGACACGCAAAGTGAGTCAAAGCCTTTCTGTTCTAAACGACGGGCTGTAGCCCGGTGGGAGGCACGACAATACTTTTTGGATTGAATTTGGGTCTTTCTCTCTCTTTCCCGCCTTGCCCGCGCGAGCGTTCCGCGACGCGCGAAACGATCGACTTGCTCCATCGGACCATCATGGGGGATTTCAGTTCCATCCATTGCCCCACACTCAATTTAAAAAAATCCTTGGCACACCCCATATTGCTGTTTTTCTGGGCCTCTTTTCCACACAGCTAACACTCCGAACGCAAGACAGCATCGGGCGTGAGGTTGCACGTCACACCCCGGAGCCGTGCGGTCTTTGCACATTCCCCCGCCCCTGATCGCCTGCCCCTCACCAAAACTTCGCGCAACGCTTCATGGGCCTCTCCTTGCGCCCAATGTTGCTTAAGCCTTAAGGGATAGGATACTCATCTTTCTCATCTATGTCATCCTCTCGTTGTTCTATGTATGTATAGTAGGTGGAACCCCACCCCAACCAACCGGGATCTCTGCCCAGAGAGCCCAAATTGCAGTTTGGGCAATGTATACAGGCTAGATTTCTGGTCAGGTGGCGTYGCGTGGGGAYGTGTTGTGCTTGATGGAATTCCCCAAAGTGTAATTTCAAATTGCTTTTGGGACGGTGCTGAAAAAGTTACCCCGACACTTCTTGAGGTGGAAAGGACAAGAGTATTAACCGCTCTTACTCGCGCAGAAGTGGTAAYGTTGCCTTCCCCACTTAAGGCGTTGGCCAAGGCTAGAGACCCACGCAKCGCCCCGCAGACATATTCAGACTCACTGACGCTCTGTTCGAAGAGATGTGTTTGTGGCCCTAGAAGAGTTATAGGCTGAGTGGTCAGGGAAGGACCCCAGAGACTCTTGGGCAGGGTTGTCGAGCCCCGGCCCCGGGGCCCCGGCGGGGTTCCGGGGTTCCGGGGTTGGGCACCCCCAACCCCGGCTCCAGACCCCCCCGCAAAAAAAAAAAATTCAAAAAATAAAAATAAAAATAGTGGGGGGTGCGCAGCGAAAGCGCGCACCACATGGGCTAAACCCCAAAAATGGGGTTTTATGCCCCACCCCGGACCCCCCTCGGGGCCACACCCACCACTCGTGGGACCGGGGTAGCTGCTGG